AATATTTAATTGAAACTGAGAGAATTTGCAATACCTGAAAAACTTAAAAAATTACCTAAAATAATAACTATGACTAAAAAATATAATATAAAGAAAACTATTTGAAAAAAAAAATAAATAAATGATGCATTTTTAATTTAAACTACACAGTTCAAATGAGTAAATAGAAAGTTTTAAAACAGTTACCATTTGAAAGAAACCATGCAACTTAAACAATTAAAATGAAATTTGAAAAAGAAAAAAAAAGATTTAGAATAACAATTATAGTTAAAAATAATATACAAAGAACATAATTTGTAAGAAGGAACGATGTGACTTTTTTCCTTCACACTGGATGTAAAAAAGGAAAGGAATATAGGTTGCCATATATTAAGAAGTTCGCCAAGTGAACTGTTCTTGGCACAAACTGAAAGAAACATGCCAACATAAATGTTTGAATTTCTCCATAAATTGTGCACCAAATTTTACAAAATTTAATATTTAGGCATAATTTGAGTCATAGAATCAAAATATGTAAAAAAAAATGTATGTGATTTCAGAAAAAGTCCGATTTTGTATCAAAATACCTATGTTAGAATAGTACTATATATAAATCTAATATATGTCCTAAGCTGCGCTTTTGAGACATGAAAAATCCAATTTGAATTTCGTCAATCAGCCAAGTAGAACGAAAGATATAGAACTGTTTCTTCCCCCCCTTTTTTTTGGTGTAGTGTACATATTTAAATTTATATTACAGTCAAAAGTCGTTAATCCGGACTCGTCGGACTTCGGCGATTTCCGGATTATCGATTTTTCCGGATTATAGATCATCATTCAAAATCTCGTAAGATATGCAGAACAGAAATTCTAAATTAAAAATATGAAAAACCTTAATTTATGAATAAAGAACAATTATAATCTAAAAAGTATCAAAAATTTACAAAAAAAAAAAAAAAAAAAAAAAAAGCTTAATATTTATTTTGTTTACTTTATTAAACATTCTTTCATGTAAGTTGTTTAAGTTGCTTATTCGTTTTATGTGATAATACTTTCTCTTTATTATATACAAAACAGACAACAATTTCTTCTTTCTTAAGTTACAAGTTCCGCTGTCAAGTCCCGTTAATTGTTGTGCCGAGAATACCGACTAACTTGTCAATCGAAATTTTTTTTCGTTTTCACTAACCTCTCTGTAACATTCTTTATGTTTTATCCATTTTTTTGCAGCAATTCCACTTTTTTGTTTTGATGGACATGAAACATACTTTGTTTTGTACGATCCTTTGGGAGCTCCAGAACGGAAATTCTATTTGACATAATCGAAAGTTCAAGTTACTTTTATAAAAATTGCTTCTTAGTCTGCAAAAAATAATAAGCCGGATCCAATTCGAAGATTAAGGAACAATGAATCAAACATTAACTGAAATAGATAATTAGATAATTTTATAATTTGAAATAGATAATTAATTAATTTTAGATTTACCGTCCGTTATACATAAACGGCACGCGAAAAGTATTTCTTTGCTTGCGCACACGCTTATGCGCGTGGGTAAATGGTCTTACGCGCACGCGTAAACGCTATGCGCTGTGTCAGCCGGCGGCGCATGCGCAGAAAGTTTTTGGCTTTGAGGTCCGTATTATAGATCATTCCGGATTATGGGTGTCCGAATTAACGACTTTTGACTGTACTTTTTAATGAGTTTAAACAAAAATAAAGAAAGAAAGAAAGAAAGAAAATGCTGATAATTACTAAAACTTGAATAGAAGTAATTTTTTATACTCAAAAACTGAAACTAAATATTTAAAGAGGTAAATAAAATGCTGATTGCATTCTCCCTTCTAAAACTATGAAATTCTTTCCTGAAGGGTGGGGTCTTTGCCATATCAGATAGTAATTAAATTTAGTTTCAAGCAAATTAAAGCTTATTTAAGCTAGAAATTATGAAAATCTGGCTGTGGGCAATGGCTGTGTATTCATCAAGGATAAAAAGTTTCTATATTCTCACATAAGCTAGACTATAGTTTTAAAAGAAAAATATTTAATTTTTGTTAAACAGGTATAATTTTTGGGGAAAATAAAGAAGTCACATAGTTTAATATTAAAACTCTGATTACAAATAAACTAAATAAATATCAAATATTATAATGATATATGATTGTTATCATTACTCATATTATACTGGTGTTTATCAAATTATAGCATTAAGAAAATATGAAAGGTAAACAGATGTTTATGTTTCCATGCAAAATTTTTAGCTAAGAAGAAGTTACGAGCCACAGTAAGAAAGCTCCTGTCAGGAATATAAATATCTACTCAAAAAATATTTTTCCATTTTTTTTTTGCATAAAAAAAAGTTAAAAAATGTAGCATAAGTTCAGTGCATTTATACTATCTTCTATTTAAAATGGCACATATATTATGCAATTACTGTATTGATTCCAAATTAATTATGTAGTTTTTCATCTGCATTGTACCTTCTGCAACTGTTGTATTGTTTTTGAAGGGTAAAAAAATAATGTTGTGTGGCAGTGGGGAGCTATGAGGTGACTAAGGTCATCTATTGAATTATAATCTTATAACTTGCAGACACATTGTATTGCATTTCCTATATTGGAACATAATTGTATTATATTCAGCCATCCCCATGACTATATATGGTTTCAATGGCAGTAACATTCTAATCCAAGTTTTTAGTATATTAGCTTAAGTTTTATCTTTGTAAGATTTCGCTTGATCTGGTAACACTAATTAATACAAAACCCTAACAGATGGGAAGGAATTATTACTCTGCCTGAAATGATGACAGTCAGGAGAAAGATAAACAGAATTTTGAGCACAAAAGCACTCACTCTGCTGTGCTACAGTATGAACCACAACTTGTGGTGATGCAACTACAGGGGAACCTCGAGATATGAGTTAAATTTGTTCCAGCTTTGAGCTCGTATAGCAAATTTCTCGTATCTAGAAACAAACTTCCCCATTGAAAATAATGGAAATCCAGCTAATCTGTTCACACCCCAAAAATATCAACATAAAAATCAAGTTTTCTAATAAATAACACTGGAAAATAATATAACTGTAGTTTACCTTTATGATAGCTTCCAACACCGACCTTTTAACTCTTCTCATTAATCCTCACCAACAGCAGCTTCTAGAAGTTTTGGATGGTGCTTGGAAGTAGCAGTAACTTCTTTGGCTACATCAAGTTTCTTAATTTTTTCTTCGGAATAGTACAGATCTTCGATGTCGAAAAGCCGTAAGTCTTCGCCAATTCCGTTACTCTTACACAACACTTATGTTTATGATTTCTTTTTTAATTTCAATGGCCATGGCTTCCTTATTTTCTTTGCAGCACTGTCTGAGGCAACAGTCTTCTTGGGAGGTTTTGTGAAATAATTATTTTCACATTAAAGGGAATAAACAATTAACTCACAAGTGCACAGACACATAGATCAAAGAACACTGAGTAATCTGATGAGGGGATTCCCCAAGTCGAGCCCGATAGGAAATGGTCTGGCTCATTGCTCATATTTAGAGAAAAATTTTTTGCTCTTACTTTCCTCGTATCTCAACATTCCACTGTATATAGAACAGTCAAATTTAGCTCAAAAGTAGTCCAGGACTACATAATTAAATATTACTAGAAGCTGGCTCACTATTCTATCGGAGCATCAGAATCAAAGTATTGGCAGCATCAGAAAGTCAAATAATTGCATCTATCAGAGCTGGCGGAAAACTAGTAAACATAGTGTGCATGCAATGCCAGAAACATGCTCTGTCTTTAAATCCAAAAGCCACAGTTTGTTTAAATACTGGCTACTCATTTGCATTCTGGTAAAAAATATGGAAAGGGGAATTTAAAGTAAAGGCTGAAATTATAAATATCTAGTTATTTAACATAAAATTCCACACATTTTTCTCCACCAGAATTTAAGTAATTGCAACAGAGTTCTTTAATGACTTTGCTCATCAAGATGCTCGATATTTGGGTTCCACATGAATTGTAGTAAATTCCCTTAACACAGTGAATCTGTATTTTCTATGGGCATTTCAAATGTAACGTAATCTACTCTCTTTTTTTAACAAATTATCAATAGTCATGAAAAATGAATCATCTACAATATCTTTAATTGAGAAATATCATGGTCTAAGCATGATGCATCAGCACTAGAAAAAGATCATGCTGCCAATTTGGTGGTATTACAAAGGTGTTGCATATTTTGCGCTGCTTCAAAGCAACCAAATGATCATCTCAGATGTCTACTGCTAACAGCTTCTGAAATTGAAGGAAGCAATCAAAAAGAAAAGGCCAGAATTGGCAAATTACGAAGGAATCATGTTCTACCACTACAATGCAAGGTCTCACATAGCTTTAGCAACATGTACGAAATTATTGGAGCTTAGTTGGGAAGTGATGTCACACCTCCCATACAGTCCCGACCTTGCATCAGCGGATTACTATTTATTTCAAAGTTTACAAAATTTCTTAAATGGTAAAAATTTCATTAATAACAATGACCTCAAACTAATAAAGCTCAGAAGTTCTATGAGCACAGAATCATTATGTTACCAGAAAAGTGGCAAAAGGTCATCAAATAGAATGGAAGATATTTGACTGATTAAAGTTCATTTTTTTAATAGAGAAAAAAATCTAGTTTTATTTCACACTAAAAAACCAAAATTACTGTCTTGCCAACCTGATAGTTAACATTTGTAAAAATATGACACATTCAAAGCTTTTCCGAGGTTTTATCAAAAATTGCCAGAGGAATAATGATTTTGATAAGAAATATTTAACAAACTCAATCTATTGTTCCTACAAATTTTAATATCTTTTCAGTTTACCTGAAGTGCTCCGTAATTTTATTTTATTACTTTGTGTAGCAAAATTGGCACAGTGGGATTTTTGAGATACAATTAAATTTATTGAGTAAAGTTTTTTTTAATATATTTTAAAGTAATGATTGCTGTATAAGTTTATGCCTTATTTAACATAAAATTCTGGAAAATATTTCAGAGTGAAAAGGAACAAGCAATATATTGTATACAAAAAGGAATTAGTGAATATTTCCCTTCAGTTGATAAGAACTATAATGGACATTCAACTCTCACAAGTGATGAACAGTTAATGTGTGCTAAGGTTTGCATTTCAGTTTTAATGAATTCATGCTTTTAGTGTAAATATTTGTTCTGTGAAATTTTTGTAAAGCTTCAAAATTGTATTTGTGTATTATATGCTTTATCAAAAAATAATTTTTAATTATTGAAAGTACAGAGTTATTATAAATGATTTATTGGATTTCAAAACACTATTTATTAAAATTATGTGCAAGAATAGTATGTGCAATAATAAATAAAAAAACTCTTGTTTTCCTCAAACACAACAAATGTTCATTGTGCGTCCCCATTGTTAACAGTACACTTCCCAGTGGTATTCAAGTTAGATTCATACCTTTTATAGCATTCCCTTGTCTATTGTCATCACATAGCAATTATGCATTCCCTGAGTCCTATGTATGTATAAAAGCACTGTTCTTAGCATATCCCCCAAAGAAGGAAATAGTTTAATATTTGATCAGGAGACTTGGAATGGGGCATATTCTACTAAACATATAGAATGAGCATAATTATAATGTGGATGTGTGTCATATCATCAACAAAACACACATGGGTGTGAAAAACATTTAGTGAATTTCCAGTTCTTTTCATGTAATGCTTGATAAACAGTATTTTTTAAAATGCTGGTTCTTTAGTGCTATTTGCAGTCTGTGAATGGGCTATATATTATTAAAAGATGGACTTTCCTAATGGTTTGTGACTCTTAGCCAACAGCAGTTAGCCAATAGGACAGTTAACCGACAAGAAATTTAACTAACACGGATATTAAACTGACAGAATGTTAGCCAACATGACATTTAGCTGACAGGGCATATAATCGACAAGAGCATTTAACTGACAATGCATACATGTAGAAAAAAATCTGATGTGTACACCACATGACTTCCTTGAACGGAATATTAAATTATACGCATTTTTTTCGTGAATTTCATTTAAATTGATTGGATTTGAATAAAATACCTTCGTCGCAGTGCTAACACAAGAGAATAAAGCACTCTTTAAAATTCCTATATTTGTTTACTATAACTGACCCCCCCGGAAATGCACAAATTTTACTCATTTGAAGCATTTATTATCTTATCGTTGCCACATTCCTTCAATACTATAATAAAGCTGAGAATGAGTATGAAGAAATTAAACAAACAAAAAGCAAAGAACGTTTTTTCAAGACTAGTTAATATTTCTCTTCATTAATTCAGTTCTCACTTACGAAAGGCAAAATACATAAAAACGCAAAATATCTATATTAAAAATTACGATATATATGAAAGAAAAAAATTAAACAAACAGAAAGAAACAGTTTTTCACAGACTATTTTATTTCTCATCAATTAATTTCAGTTCTCACTTCACGAGAAAGCAAAAAACATAAAAACTCAAAATATCTATATTAAAAATTACGAAGTAAATCTTAAATACTTTATTTCCTCGAAAACATTCCAGAAGGGATTAGCATGATTAATTGCAATAATAAATGAAGGCATTATTTTTGTTGCGAAGCTTAGTCTTCCAGATTGGCAACAAATCTCAATTCCTGCTTTTTCCAATGTAAACAAGATGTCCCCCATGTAATTTAAACTTAACTGGCACTTAAACTTTTAAAATTGTTGATAATTCTACAATATTGCCCCAGAATTACGAAAGCCATAAAAACCTTAACGGAAGATAAAAACAACATAATTCAATCATTTTTAAAGCAAAAATGTACAATTTACAACATATAAGAGTAAGAAACTGAGATCACGGGGCCGAGTAACAGAGGGGATATATATATAAATATAGTATATACGTTTGGTGCGCGCCGATTGCAACCAAAATACGAGTGCCACATCTCATTTATGCAGTCCTATATACAAAATTTCAACGCTGAGGCTACTCGTTTTCTGAGTTATGCGATATACGTACGTACATACGTCGTACAGACGCCACGAAAAATTCTTCAAATTAATTTTAAAAGCAGTTTTTTAAGTTATTTTTTTGGAGAAAAGAGTCTTTTATTCTGTCCTTACGTACAGATATCGCGCAAAAACATCGTTAAATTGTATTCGATAGCGGTCAAAATGGATATTTTCGTTGAAATGTGCTGTCTGAAACTTTTCGCCATTACAATACTTCCTTTTTCCTTTACAAGGAAGTAAAAAAAGTGACAAAATTTTAGTAAAGTTTCTCCATATTTATCTGACAAAAGGCTATTTCCAGGGTAGACAAAAAAATTTTTTATGGACAATTACCACATTTTTGTCTTTATTTAATGCTAAAGAGTATGTAGATTTTAAAACTGCACAGAAAAGCAACCTTATTTTGATGAAGATTTTAAAATCAGTTTCAAGAGTAATTAGACATGGTATCGAAACTATTTAATATGGAAAGCAATGGTTTGAGGCAAGCAAAAACGAAGGTAATGTAATCTGTGAAGAAAAATAATAATTAAACATGGAAAAGCCAAGCTATTATATAATTTTGAACACTTTGAAAAATTAATGTCATTAACTAAAGTGTAATTTTTTTTTAATATGAAAGGGTTCAAGGAAATTCATTTCACTAATACAAAAATAAATACCTATATTTAATACATTTTATTTCTTTTAATTGATAATTTTTATAGATCGAAAATCAAAATTATGATTAAGTGTCCAGTTATGATTAGCTTCTAAAAATTTATTTCTCCTTCCAGACATATGATCCATGTCCCCTTATGAGAAATTTCAATGCTCTTTCAGTATGGGGAATATATGTCAAACCACATTGACATGATAGCCTAAAATTCAGGAAGAAGTAAAATCAAAGATGGGATCAAAAACTGAGCAACGAATTTAACTGATAAGTGAGAAAATGCCATTAAAGTTGAACTTATGGAGAATTCGAGCAATTTTATAATTGCTAGAAAGATTAAACAGTATTATATCAGTGTTGATATGATTATTTTTAATGTTGAACTGTGCTTTATGGTGACAATACATTTTACTGTATAAAGTCTTAATTTTTTTAATTAAGATTTATTTTAAGACAAATACTTTAATCAAGTTTTAAGACAAATACTTATACTTTAATCAATTAAATTTTTAACAGTAAGAATAAAATATATGTATTAAATTTATACAACCTCTATTTTTTGCAATTAATATATTTTCAATTGTTAGAAGGCTGGTAACTGCAAAATGGAGCTATGTGTTTTTTTAACAGATTGCTGTGTTACATCATCAGCAGATGAAATAAAAGCAAAACTTTTTTTTCCAAAATATTCATAATTATAATTTGAAATTCTTCAGTTTTAAACATCCAATTTCACGGTATTTCCTTTATGGTGTGTTAGATTTTTCATTTCTATCATATGCCTCATGTTTTATTAGATTCATCATGGGTAAAGCTGACCTCATATTTCAGTAAAAAACTTCATAACTTATTACTGAAAAACCTATTTACACATCTTAGGAACATTACATTTGATTACCTTATAGGCATGTCTCAATCTTTCAAACATTGTCACCATTTATTAGACAGCTTTCATTTTCAGGTAGTGGAAATAGTTAGTTTAACTTCTAATGTTTCATATGTTGATTGTAATTCTTGGTTTAGAATTGAAATTATGTACCGTAAATCTATTTCTGTGTCTTTGCTTCTCCATGCAAAATCATGTCACTCTCCCAACTAAATATCTGCTTTCTACCGTTATGCATATCATCAAAATTTGCTTTTCAGAGTACTTGCTTTTTAAGAAATTAATTATTTGAAATCAGTTTCCATTCTTCCACAGACAGTGATGAGGCCTTTCGAAAATGTTCCTCTTGTTATCATAAATGACCTTTAGCTATTAAAAATTGTCCAAACAATTATGTCATTATAACATTTCATCTTTCTTTTAGTTACAAAATTGCTTGAATTCTCCCCAAAGTCACTTTTCAGGTAATGTTTGCTATCATCAATAAACTTGTTCAATTCTTAAAGATTCCATCCCTGATTTTAAACCTTGTGGAATTTTAACTTAATAGGATTTATCATGTATCTTGTAGAATTTTAGCTTAACACATTTTGTGATGTCAGTGTGGTTTGATATATATCTACCTGACTGAAAGAGCATTGAAACTTCTGGTCAAGGAACATGAATAATATCTATGCAAAGAAGAAATAAACAAAATTTTGTTAACTAATCACAATTGGACACTTATCAGGTCAGTCCATAAGTTTGTGCGCATTAAGAGTAATTAAATGTAATATATATCAAAACTGAGCATTTTGAACTAATAAATCTAAAACTGTATAAAGTCTTAATTTTTTTTATTAAAGGGTTTTTATTCATTAGCTTAGGGAAAAAATTTTAGAAAGACACAGGGAAGCTATGACGAAAACAAAACCCTAACTTTGTGAACTGGAATTGTTTTTTAGTTGATAACATACAAGGTGTGGCTAATTTCCAGATTGTTCTAATAACACCGAAAGATGGGTGAAAAACGTACCTTTTAATATGTTTCAAAGTAATCCCCACTGCGTAAACACTTTGGCTCGCTGCCTAGTGTTGCAGAAACAACTTTTAAAGTCCTCTTTCAGAAGGCTCTTCAATGTTGATGTTCAATGTCACTTTCTTCTTGATGTCTTCAACATCCACAAAGCGTGCTCCTTTGATCACAGTTTTGAGTTTGGGAAACAAAAAAAAATCTGCGGGGGCCAAGTCAGGAGAATATGATGGATGATGCAGCTCTACGACCTCATGCTTAGCCAAAAACCTCTTTACTGGCAACGTAATGTGGAGGCGGGCGTTGTTCATGCAACAGAAACCAACTCCTATTCTGTTGAAAGCGGGGACGTACTCTGTGAATTCTTTGTCGGAGTCAGGCAATAACTTCTGCGTAAAACTGTCCTGTAACAGTAGTGCCTGGTGGGAGAAATTCATAATGAATAAGTCCTTCACTATTGAAGAAAGCGATTAACATGACTTTGATTTTTGAAATCGAAATTTTTTCTGTTTAGAGGAGCTGGGAGACCACCATTCTGTGCTCTGTCTCTTGGTTTCAGGGCTGTATTGATAGCCCCATTATTCTTCACCCGTCACTATTGAATCCAGGAAAGCAGGGCCAGCTTTAGTTAGCATTGTCAATGAGTTCACCACATGTGTCCATTCTGACTTGCTTCTGATCATCCAATAAACAGTGCGGTACAAATCTGAAACACTCCTTACATTTCCCTAGGTCTTGTGTCAGAATTTGGTGAACCACCTCTTTGTCGATGTTGAGTTCACTGGCCAGCATTCGAATAGTCAGTCGCCAATCTGCTGCTATAAGCTTGCAAACTTTGTCAATTGTTTCAGGCGTATGCAGGGAAATTGGCCTTCTGGTGTGGGCATCATCTTCAACACTTTCACGGCCGTCCCGAAAACGTCCATACCATTCAATTATGCGAGAACAAGATAATACTTGCTCACTATATACTTACTTTACATTGCATGTGTTCCTGTTACACTTTTTCCCAGTTTAAAGCAGAATTTGTTGTTCACCCTTTGTTCCATTTGAGCACTTCCACAACACCACTTTGCCACTTTGACAACAATACTTCATCAGATACGTTTCTAAGCGTCTTTCCCAGCCAAGCTCGTGTCTACAACTGATGCACGCTACGGGGAGCATGTGCAGATGTACTACTTTCCAGATACCAGCAGCGCCTCTCTAGGGTGAGTGATCAGTTTCATGCTGTGACATCAGTCTTGGATATTAATAGCCACACCTTGTATTATTCAGTTCATCGCCAACTTTCGTAAATATTGAATGCATTTTAGTACTCGTAGAAGATGAATATAGATAATCAGTACGAACGTGCTGTGCTACATTTTTTGTTTTTGTGTGTTGAATCTGCCAGGTTTCCAGTGATAAAAATTAATAGTGTACATGGTGAACACACTGTTAGTGTAAGAACTGCCCAGAAATGGTTTAAAAATTTTAAAATTGAAAAAAGCAGCATTGATGATGAAACCCCGTTCAGGACATTTTGAACTGTTAGAACCAAATCAAATGATTAATTCAGAAGTTTATAATGAACAACTTTGCCGTCTAAACTCAGAGTTGATCAAAAAATGCCTACAATTAGTGAATATCAAGAAAGTGTTGTTTCGTTGTGATAACACTAGACCGCATACGGCTCGAACAACGCTGCAAAAAATTAGTGAATTTAATTGGAAGCTTTTGCCGCATCCTGCTTACTCCCCAGATATTGCCTAAAGTGATTTTTACATATTTTGTGCTTTACAAAATTTTTTACTGGCGAAAAAATATTAAATTCTAAACGTGATGTACACAATGACCTTTCAAGTTTTTTAGCATCAAAACCATAGTCTTTCTACAGCAATGGCATAAAAAAGCTGCCTGTAAGACGGCGAGACATTGTATATAATGGAGGAGAATATATAATTGATTAAAATGTTAAATTGTGTTTTTTTATACTATTTAAAAATTTACCGAAAAATGCACTGAATTTAAAGACTGACCCAATAATAAGAATTTTCACCTTCGATCTACTAAAACTATTTGTAAACCTTCTTCAGTTAGTAAGTTTAATTAAGACACAATAATACGTCGAATAAATACTAATTCAGAAGTCAAACCACAAAAATCAGCAAACCGCAAATGAAAAATCAATTTTTCATTTGCGGTTTTGCAGCTGAGGATGGTGGTTCAGTAAAACCATCGAAACTAGTCCTGTGAAAATTTTGAAAATATAACGCTGATTTTTGTTGTTTGACTTCTGAATTAGTATAGTTTATTTGAACCTTTCTACATCAATGAAAATCCTTCTTCTTTAGTTAATGACGTTAATTTTCCAGTGCTTTCAAATTTCTAATATCTTAGTTTTTTTCACTTTCATTACTATTATCCTCAACAGATTGCATTTGCTTTTGTTTTGCCACACTCATTTCTCTCCATATAAAATCGTTTTGCTCCTATGTTTAATTGCTCTCGAAATTGATTTCAAAATCTGTCCAATTTTAAACTCTCTCTTAAAAACTCTTTAGTATTAAATAAAAATAAAACTATATTACTTAACCATAAACGTTCTTGTTGTGTGCTCTGGGAATAGCCTTTTGTCAGATAAATGCATGGAAATTTTACTAAAACATTGTCATGTGTTTTTATCTGCATGTACGCATTGTCAGATAAACATACTGTTTGTTAAATGTATCAGCTGAAAGTGTTGTCAGTTAATTGTTCTGTTGGATAGATATCCATGTCGGCTAATAATAATTAGTCCTGTCCCTGTTAGCTAAGTGTCCTGTCAGCTAAATGTCCATGTTGGCTGAAGGACCTGTCGGCTGAGTGTCTCTTTGGCTAAATGTCCACGACTGCTTCCCCAAGAGAGATATTATCTATACAATATCAGACTATTATCCTGCTGCAAAGAGCCACTCAGAATGACTGGGTATCATAGGTAGTACTCTCCAAACCGTAGCATAAGTTCCAACAAATTAGGTGGCATAAGCAGCATTAGCTAGACCTTCTCCATTTATGAAACCCTGGCCATCAAAACCAAGCGAAAACTATGATTCATTCATTCATAATATACAATAAAGCTGCAACTCATTGTTTTTCAAGTTCAATAGTGACAACATCGGAATGAGCTTTAATGTTTGTGTCCTGGATTTAGTAATAAATATTACAATGTGTGCTTACAGTGAAGTCTAGCCTCTGCCATTCTTCTCACATAAGTGCACATTAGTACATGTAGAACTCTAATTATTACATGATCCTTTCGAGAGTGTGCTGTTCTAGGTATATCATTGCTGTCATGACAGCTATTGATGCCTTATTTAAATTGTTTGTAAGAGCATCTTTCAGCTATATCATGACTTTGGCCTTTGTGCTGTTTATCAGTTCTGCCAACCTAGTTCCCTGAAAGCACTGATGCAACCTCTGTTAAATTTTTGCAGTTTGTTGTATCATCATTGGATGGACCTTCGACACATTTGCTAAAATAGGCAACACTGCCCTATAAACTATCTAGATTGATGCAATAGCAGAGAAATTTACTTTGGGATCTGAGGTATTCTTCCTTGGAATTCCATTCATCGCAGAACCTTAAGCAATACCTAATGTCTATTTTGATACAACCTGTACTTTGTTTCTGTACCTGTGTACTTTGGGGTATGCATTTCTGATATGTTTTAAATCCATTCTTTGTTTTTTTGGCTGTGCATTTCCTATTATTTGCATCCTGTAAGTTTAGTCAGTTTACCCTTAGCAAATATATATATATATATATTTGTAAAAATGTGATTGGCAAAATTATCATCTATCTTGATGTTTTTCTAAAGAAAGACATCTTTCTTTCTTTACTTATTCAAACCTTGATGTTTTTCTAATTTTTTTGTACTTTGAAAATACTTAGAAATATATTTTTAATTTATGTGCCCTTTTTTTTAAGTAATAATTATGTTAGCTTATTTGCATCTTTCATGTGTATTGATTAGTATTTCATTTGCAGGCCAAACTGATTTTAGCTATTTACAGTGAAGAATCTTCAATAGTAGATAGCAACAGTTTAATTGATATGTATAAAGAAGTTATAGTTTTACAACCCAACTGGGAAGCAAGTCATTTTCATTTAGCAAAATATTATGATAAAATGCTGAACTCTACTGAAGAATTAGCTATGAAATCGTAATAAATTCTTTTTTTATTAAAAATTGTTTTTAAATGCATATTTTATCTTTAGTTTATATTTGTCATTTCTTTTCATGCATTGTTTCTTTCTTTTTTTAATAGAGAAATTATGGTTAAAGTAGTGAGGAATTTTGGTAATTCTCTAAAACATGGTTGTAAAAATGTGTATCATTCATTGCCAAGACTTTTGGACATTTGGTTTGATTTAGGAACTATACATTCTCATGATACAACAAAAAAATTCAGTAATGTATGGAAGTCAGTTTCATCTAATCTAGAGAAAATCACTTGCATGGTACTTATTTTATTTTTAGTTTAATGATTCAATGTATTGTTTCTAAAAAATACGAACCATCATACTTTGACAATGCATAATTTGCAGATAGTTCAAGATTTATATGATAATATTCCTCTTTATTTGTTCCTGACTGCTTTTCCTCAACTGATTTCAAGAATTTGCCATTCACATCCAAATATATCAGTTTCCCTACAAGTAAGCACTGCTTCTGTTTCCCCCCCCCCTCCTTGTGTTATTCAACAACTGTATTTTATTTGATGTGTTCAGATAATAGAATTATAAATTGTAATTATTGTCCTCCCCCCCCAATGTGTTAAAATTAGTTTGATATTTAGCTATTTACTCTTTAAAATTCTATTCTTATTCCTATTGAAAATTATAATTATTCTATGCTTAATCTTATTAGAAATTAATTTCAAGACTTCTGGCATCATACTGTCAACAATCAATGTGGATGATGATGGCTGTTTCAAAGGTTAGTGTTTTTTTGCAACTGTATTCTATCTTGTAGAGTTAAATAGTAGTTAAATATTTCTGTATCTCAATTTCAGTCATCATATCCTACAAGGAGCAGGCGCTGTAAGCAAATATTCCAAGAAGCTGTCTTATTGAATCCTAGTCTTGGAAAATTTATAAGTGACACTACTCGATTAGCAGACAAGTTTATCGAACTGAGCAACAAAAATGTTGGTGATTCTAATGTCTTAAGCATTAGTGATAATTTCCCAAGTCTTCTGAAGTTGTTAGATGAAAAGTATGTCATTTCATTCTTTTTCAGTCTAATATTAATTTATTGTTACTTTTGCCAGTCAAATGATTATCTATTTTTCTTGAAATTTAACATTACTAAAGTGTCAGTTCTAATTTATAGTACAGTACAAAGTCTGAAATCTGGACATTCATTATCCGGAATGATCTAAAATCCAGACCTCAAAGCCACGCAAAAAATTTTTTTGTATGCTTTACACATGCGCATTTGATTTTTCCTTCCATAATAAAACGTGTGGAGATTTTCACTTAAAAATTCCGATTCTTAATTTCACTTACTTAGGCACTAAATATACATCGTTATGAAAAAACAATCATGTAAGCATAAATTTGTGAGATTAATAACTTGGCTCCATAGCTGAGTGCCTGCTTGGCATTTCATCTCAAACCGAAACATTTTACCTATTTATATCCCTGATGCCACCTGGCCCATTATTTTATATTTTGCTTTCATCACTGCACATATGTGTATGATACATTTACCTATTTTATATCCCTGATGCCGACCTGGCAAGTCATTATTTATTATATTTTGCTTTCATCACTGCATATATGTGTATGATACTCATATGCTCATATCCCGTCATACTTAAGCACAATATCTTGCACTCTGTTTTTTTAATCTACATAAATTATTGAAATTGTATATTTTTTAATAATAAGACTGTATCCAAACAAATAATTTGCATAAAAATTTGATTTTGATGCTTAAAAGTATGTATATAGCAATTTATGTATGTAACATTGTAAATAAAATTGTGACTGTTTAAGATAGTTGAAATGATTCAAAACTGAGTAAATATTCAAAAAATTTATGTTTTAGTAAATTTGCTATCTGTGACAATTTAGTTAGCACAAAAAAGCATAATACTTCATTTTATAAATTTTGTAGATGAAAAGTTAATTGTAGCTACATGTGTACCCGTTACATAGTGCTTCTTCTGTAACAAAACATGCTATATCTCATTATAATAAATTTATAATGTGGCTGGCAACTTTATCAACCATTATCTAAAGATGAACTAAAAAACTGAATAGATGATATAAAACATTAGAAAATGTTGAGTACATACCAGTAGATACACTAACACTTTTAACAGTAAGACACTTTTAACCATAATTTATCATTTGTTTTGAACCAATGTATTCAAGTGACGTTATATTTTAAAATTAGATGATAATAGTTCTGTTAACCATTTGAGTGCCACGTGTCTTTGCTGTTTTCCCGTCAAAAAGTGCCAAGGAGCGCTATTGCACTGTTTACTGCTCTTATATGATAAGTTGTAATTCTTTCAATTCAGTGTTGTTCTGACATCATTTTGTCTTTTCTGACAGATATCAGCATCTTTAAATAATATATAAATATTGCAGCTTCATAGCCTAGAGTGCTGGCACTTTTCAAGTGACACAGAAGAAGTGCAAAATCGTTCCTTGGAACTCAAACGGTTAACATCCAAAAAATTAATTTAATGTCCAAGTCTTATAACTAGTGGAAAACAGTTTACAGGCAAGGTTATAGTTTTCTGTTTCAACAATATTGTCAGTTGTATGAGGGATAATGAGCTTCATCTATTCATTAAATTTACGACATTTAGTAGCTACTGTCTTTAATTCACTAAAAGGTTCATAGTACAAATGTCTCTCCTTTTGCAAAATATAGGACAGTGACTTCATGAAAGTTTTGAATATATATAGAAAGATATATGAAGAGGCTTAATCATAATGCTTTGCAGAGACTGCTAATCAGAATGCTATTTCAAATAAAGCTTCATCATAATTCACTGTTTCCATATCCTTATATAAAATGTCTGTTTCATCTGCAGCTCCTATCTATGCAGCTATGAACTAAATTATCATCACCTGTATGTATATATATATGTACGTTAAACAACCCATGTTATATAGGTATTGAATGAAGTGCTGATTTATTGTTTATTTTATTTATTATTATTGATTTATTATTATTGATTTACAGTTCATTTTCAAGGATTTTTACAGCATGCAAAGAACTAATTGTTTCAACTTGCTTAATCATTATCATCATTATTCTTCCAGTGGCCACTAGTCTTTTACTAAATCTTGTATGCTTAAATTGCTAGAAATATCACAAATATATGTATTTTTGCTTTGATTTAAGGTAGTAATCTGATCACTGCTTTTTCATCTGGCAAAAGCAGCATGGTGTCTGCTACATTAGCTTTTCTTTTTCTTCCCCCCCCCCAATTTCCCTTTTTAATTCTTTTTGGTAACAGCCACTTTTGTAGTGCTTATCCTGTTTTTGGTAAAGAACATAATTGTAACTAAAAATTGCACAGATTAAAATTTTAAAAGAAAAACAGATATATAGTTTTATATATTTCCATGCTAATCAGAGTATTATGCATAATAAGTACACTAAAATACATATTTTAAATGTATACTTAATTATAAAGTATCCTTTCTTGGTAAAGTTATTGTAACGAGACAGAACTTTTATATTTTAAGTATCTTTGTATTTTTAGTTTATTTCTGTGTTGAAAAACTCTAGGAAACACAATAATTATGTTGCATTTGCAAAAAATAAAAGAAAAAGAAAAAAAAAATCAGTATTGTGGGAAAAGAATTTTAGATAGTTGACGTTTAATCTGATGTGTCACAGATAAGTAGGAGCTAATTACGATTTTTGCTCTAACCATTTGTAAAAGGATTATTCCTATTGACTTATTCTAGATTTTATTGTAGTCATGTTTTACTATTCACATTTCAAGCAGCATGGTTATTTTTCCTTAGTCACTTTAGTAAAAATAAATATTCTGCAGGTAATCCAAGCCAAATGAATGATTAATATTCCATTTCTTTGATAGAACTGAAAAGGGAAGAGATATTGTTAGTGAAATTATAATGCTTTATTTAATGGATATACATTTGTAATAAATCAATTTGTTATGGTTCCGTAGGCATTTTAGCAAGATCATGCTACCTTCACAAACACAAATGATTGTGACACTTCCTAATGGATATTTAAGCATACCAGAGCATAATCCATTTCCATTTACTCCTGTGTATATTCGTGGGTTTGCCGATACAGTAAGTAATAATCTGATTACCTTTTAATCCCTCATTTTTTCCAAAAAAACTATGTTAAATTGTTCATGGTTTAACTGTTATTCTCTGTCTCAGGTTGAAGTTTTCCCATCTTTGCAAAAACCAAAAAAACTTATTGTTCAAGGAAGTGATGGGAAATTATATCCCATTATGTGCAAACCTAAGGTGAATATTTTTTATGTAATTTTAAAAATATTTGACAAAAAATTGATTTTAATTTTAGCATAAAATCATGCTCAATGAATGTTTGGTCTTGTAATTAAATTCCATACTTGAAAATGCTGTAATAATGCTTTTTCGTGAATTTATAATTCACTATACTTTTTCATCATTCTTCTTGTATACTTGTATATATGCATAGCGCATTTAATTTAAAAGCCAAAGTTTTATTCTTCCAGATGAAAGCATTTTAATAAAAAATAAATGAAGAATGTAGTGTTTTAAATATCTTTTTTTCTTCCTTGGGTATTCATCAAATTCTATCACCAATCCTGGACAGTAAAAAATTATATAAAATTCTTGTGGATAAAATGAAAATATGCTATAAGCATTTCTTATTCTTTTTGCCACTGTGAAGTAAAAGACTAATTACTTAGACTGTTTGCTAGAACTAATCATTCAATTGTAACTGCAATGGAGATTCAATTATTCATCACCCAGAGGTTAAAACCTTTAATTTTCATTATCCACTGACCACTAAGACAATATGATGAACAGAAAGAAACTATCATAATTGTAAATCTAAAATACTGTTTTAAAAAATATATTATTGTACTGCAAGGAGGGAAAATTCTATTGAAAATTTTTGCATAAGTTTGATAATCAGAATTTATTCTGATTATTTGTAAAATTTCGTGAAATTTATATTAAATTCATTATGAGTAATGTACTGAACAAATACATGAAACTTAACGGAAGACTTTTTCTGTATATGATAGGTAATAAGAAATGAACTCATTTAACCTGTTCACGACGGGCAAGCGTTCTCTTGGGACGGCGCATTAACCGGATACGTCATCTTGTGGGGACGGGCAATTCGCACTGCTAAGCCTAACTTTGTAAACAAATTCGTATAAATTAAATTTGTCATCCAATTGTTCCAATTTTTGGTACATTATGAGAAGAACATTTAGGTAGTTGTCAGAAATAATTTTAAATCTTTATTGTTATATTTTCCTTAAAAATTTTATAAAATACTCATTCTAGAGTAATATAATTTTTCCTTTACCCTACAATTAAATATATATGGAAAAAAATCCAAACAATCTCAGATTTTATTTAACACAACACATAATTAAAATTTAAAAATATTAAATCTGTCTTTCATAAAAATTCAATGTGAAAACAACGAAAAGGAAGCAATATTTCAAAAAAGAGACAGTGCATGATTTTGAAACATGGGTGTACGCAAAGTCCAACGTTGCATATTGCACAGGACTAGAATATCAGTAAATTTGACTCATTTAGCATTTGTGTCTTCTACGATCAGATAGCGCTTTCATTTTGCCATTAAAAAAATATAACACCAGCAATGGAACATTTAAAAAAAAAAAAAAACTTTTGCTAAGCTATGCAAAATATTCGTCTCAACACCGGAAAAATCTAACAGTAATAAAAATGTCTTTAATGATAGAACATCTACTCCACTATACGGGGATAAAAAAATAAAATAAATTAAATTAATTAAATTAAGAAGTATTCCTGAGCATCCAGAACATGTTCATTTGTTTATATAAAATGACGCAGTAAGAGCCATCACGTTACTCAACACCTACGAATTAGCATTTGTGTATATTCTTCTATGTTCAAATACCTATATCGCAAAAATAAAAATAAAAAGTACCTCAAAAGCATCGAAAACATGTGCATTTGGCATTCGTTTATATCAAATGACACAGCTAAAGAGACATTACATTGTTCAACACCCACCCACGAATCTCCCTTTCAATCCAAAACAAAATACCAAAAATAAAAAACATTGCATAGGAATGAAGGTACACATAACTTAACTTTCAATATATTTCCCCATAACAGACATACAGCTACATCTAGTGGCAACAAAAAATACTAATTAAACGTTCTAACTAAAAAGTCATACGTGGTACACCCGGCCATACAGTGAATTAAATGGCGATTCAAATGTGACACAACCGGCCGTCAGGTAATGTTCACTGCTGATGCATATATGACACGCCCGTACTGAATGGGTTAGCATGATGCCAGTGAATTATGTTAAAGATATTTATTGTTTAATATGTTGTCACCAGAGATTTGGGGCTGTAGGCTATTTTGAATTTATTTTAAAAATTGTATTTTCTCTGCTCAGTATAATAAGCAAACTAAGATGCAATAATGTAACTAATTTTCAAGTTCAGTCGTCTACTCAATTTCATTTTTCTGTGTCCTGTACAGTTCTACAATGCTAAAAATGAACTGTTGTATCAGTTTTCATATTTGGTCATAATGGTGGCAAGAATTTTTTTATCCATCATGACACTGAACGATTGAGAGATAATTAACTGATTTTTCAGTTGATTTTTTCTTTATACTCCATAGAGTATCATATTAGAAATGGGCCTATTGACTGACTACCTATATTTGGTGCTAACTGCATTTGGATATCATGACATTCATCAACTGAAAAATAATCTTTCCATTGCACATTACTTTTAAGAAAACCCAGATTTAATTATGTGGTTCTGTAATGTGCCACATATTAACAAATTGTTGATTTTTTTTTCTTTTAAAACAACTATTATCTTCCTCCAAGTCATCTGACTCCATCTTCCAACCATAATGCAGAGATTTGTTTCTTTTTAAGTTATTCTGCCCATAGACTGTTAAAATTTGCCAGAGAGACTTTCATTTTTTCTTATCAAACTAATTACTGCTCATGGCTATTGCTTTCTCATTAAAAACAAATGTTTATACTCTAGGATATGCTTTCATTTTCCGAGGAACCCAATTTGTGATCCAGCTTTCATCTGAGGTGTCATAAAAGAGTATGTTAATGGGGATTTTTAAATGCCATCTGAATGCACAATAAAGACATGGCAAATATTTTTCAGTCATTAAATCATATAAAAGTCTGATAATGTTTTTTTGAAAAACTTCTGTTGAAGAAAAATAAAAATATATAATTAAAGCATCTAAATAAGTATATATGATGGTTTAACAAGACTTTCACTCAATAATATTAAAGCTTTAGTTCATGAGTGAAGGTATTTATTGAAAAACGTATAAATTATACTTTAATACATTTAAAATGAAACTTTGTAAGGCTTATGTTAATTTTATTAACAGTTAAATTTTGAGTTAAACTTCCTTTCCTATCACTTCTTAATTTCAACTTACCACTTCCGGCCAGGACCTAGTTTTAGAATCACGTCTGAATGCTAATGAGGAAGAGTGGTATTTAACTGTGAAGTTCTACTGTCTTAGTGAGAGAAATACCAGATGTTCTGGCTAGCACGCGTCCTTTTTTTTAGGCTACTCTCTCTTAAGCTATTATTACGCTCGGCCGTACTTTTGGTTCTTAATAGCTTCGCAGTCAATTAGCGTTAAGGTGCCAACTCTATTAGAATCTTGATAGTTTCAGCTATATCTCTTTAGTTAAGATTAGTTTAGTTTAATTCGTAGTTTCTTAAGTTCAAACCTGAGTGTTGGCTTTATTGTACAACTCCAAAACAGAGTTCTGTTAAACCTTATTTGAATAATAAAGGATTTATTTACTGTCTCACAAACTCAAGCGATTATTCATTTACTAGTTCTTAAGATTCTTCACATCCAACTGTAACTTAGAATTAAACAGTGGGGAATCCTACAACTTTTAAAGCTTGCCTTCCAAAATTAAAGTGTTTAGTAATTGATTTGCCTTCTTAGGCACATAAATTTCTTGCTCACTATTACCGTAATTTACGGAAGAAAGGCCACGTCAGCATAAACGCCGCACTCGAGAAAAATGGCGGGAAAAAAATTAAAATTACACAGAAATGCCGCATCAGCGTAAACGCCGCAATAGATTAAATTGCCGTGACATCGTCGTGGGCCGTATAGATGCAAAAACTCAACGTAAGGCCTCATATATGAAATACCAGTTAAGAAAAATGCATGAAATGAAACCATAACTCAAAAATAAATTAAAGGTAAGAAATGTGGAAAATATATTTATCTTCACGTATATACTTATGTTTACCCACTAAAGAAGTCCATATTTGTAATACTCAGACTATATTATAAAAAATGTTGCAACAACGAAATATTAAATTTGGATGACAAAAGGAAATTTTAAATTTTACTTACGAATTACAGCAAACTATACATCATATGAAGCCATCAAAATCTGATTCTTCACTATATGAATTAAAAAGATTTAGTAAATCCTGATCTAAGTCTTCCAGATCGTCACATTCATCCTCTTGGTTTACAGTCTCTTTATCTAAGGATATAATTTCAGCTTCTTTGAACCCTGCTATTATTGAGGATGTTTCTACCAATTTCCACGCACTTCCTACCCACTTTGCAATTTCTTCATAAGATGCTCTACGCATTTTACCTCTTTTGGTTTACGTATGCAATCCTTCACTCATCCAACACTCCCACCGCTTTCGGACTTCAGCTTTGAAGGATTTATTACCTGACAAATATAATGGTTGTAAGATTTTTGTCAAACCACCAGGAATTATTGCTTCGGTCGTAGACAATTTTTGACATCCGGTTTTCACTGACTCAAAGAAATGAGCACGCATGGAATCCATTATGAATAACCCTTTTGGTTGGAAAAAAGATCCCATACGACACTGCCAAACTTTTTGTAGCCACTCGTGCATGATTAAATAATTATGTCATTAGGAAAATCTCCCTTCGGAATAGTCTTTCGTTTAAAAATGATCATCATTTTAGCTTGCCACCGTTTGCAGCACAAGCTAACACACATGTAAATGACGTTCTTTCATGCCCCGTCATAAACACAGATACAGTTTTTGCACCAGTTTCATCAACAGTTCTGTTTGCAGGAGAGTCGAAAGCTAACGGCGTTTCATCCATATTTATTATCTGCGTTCGAAGAATTTTTTTTTTTTTTTTTTTTTTTTTTGTCAATAATAGCTGTCACATATTTTAGAAAAGATGACCTTTTTATCCTGTCAGTCCATTGGTAATTGTTGCCCGACTGTTGTTCTAGTACGCAGAGAAATATTTTTTTTCATAAATCTGCTACACCTCCTTTGAAATCATTTATGTTCATTCGTTTTGCTATAAATATTGTTTGTAAGCGAATTTTTACAATCGAAATTGCCATTCCCTTTCCTCGTTGCTCCTTTATCCATTTTGCAAGGTCGTCCTCTAGATTTGCCCACCTTACAGTACCACTTCTTTTGTCTCGTTTCTGTTGTGGCATATTTTTAAGAAGTTCTTTTTCAGTTCTGTTGTCCACGAATACATCTGTTGTCCACTTCAAACTTTTGAGCTGCTGCTCGATTTCCAGTTTGTTCAGCACGTGAAATTACATTAAGCTTAAAACCAGCAGTATAGTTTCTGTGCTGTTTAGGGACATTTTCAAAAATTTTCCACTCCCTTCTTAAAAACTATCCAACAAGTACTTGTACCCAAACTGATGGGATCTTTATCTGGCAGAATGCCAAGAAAAATCCATTCATGCTGAAGGGGAAATATGTCAGAGTTCGTTATTGCGAGGCAGGTGGAGTCGTGTCCGCCTTTGAAAAAAATTGCAGAAAAGGCAGGGGTGGGGAGAGGATGGGTCCTGGAAGATTCATCGAATGACAGAGGAGAGAGACTATTCAAACTGATGAGAATGTTGATTTGAAAGGGGGAAGAATATGTTCTGAGATCTTGTTTAGGGTGAATAAGGCATGTAGGTTCGTTCAAAGGAAAGAATGTAAACAAAATAACGTTCGCAAAAAGTAAGTGAATGGTCTTTTGTGTGGGAACAGCACCAGTCTATGCACAATGACAAGGCTATCCAAACTATTTACAATGACCATCATAGGAAATATTTTACTTTTAGTGCACCTAAATGCCGCATGGGTAGAAACGCCGCACCCGCTGAAAATTTAAGTTTTAAACACGTAAACGCCGCGGCGTTTCTTCCACAAATTACGGTAATTAGGTTTCTACTCCCCAAATGTCATTTGCAAAAGATGAACTATTTAAGATAATTATTTTCCCTGCACTTTAAGCTTGCACACAAGTACCGGCTGACTGTAATGTAAATATGAATTTCCTTCCTAAAGTTAAGCTCTTTATTTTTATTTATTTATTTATTTGAAAAATAAGGAAGATGTACATGCCAACCAAGGTTTAGTGATACCCATTTTACTAATACCCTTGATTTGCTTCCGTTTTTACAGATTGAAACATATAACACTAGTGTCAAATTATCCTCAGTCTGTCTCCAAATTGAGGGTAGTTTGATATTTTTATAAAAGGTTTTGCCATCTAATGTCATGTGCAGCTCTTTTGTATTAAAATCTTACGTTTTCCTCCAGTGGTTCTATTTTCCGTGTTCAATTATGATTCATATGTGTGTATATAGATACTGAAAATTATGATTCACAGTTTTAAATTTGTGAATCTCCAAGTGTTATAGTTATTTATGCAAAATTATCTGATTGTGAAATCTCCTTTTTGCTAAGCAAGTAAAATTGTATAATGTATGCAAAAGCATTTGATGATATTTGATGCAAACAACTTTTTAGCACATTTGCTAATGGCTTAAGATTGAGCAGAACTGTATAAAAATTTTAAATAAGTTTTCTTAAACATGTGTTTAAAATATGAAAGAACTAGGTAACTGATAAACGTAAGCAAAAATTTTAATATTTTTAACATAAATGAGGTTTAAAACTGAATTAATTTGCTGCCTCATTAAATCTGGTTTGACTTGTTATTTTCCCTCCATATATTAATTTTCATAAAAGAGTCAACCTTGATAATTAAAATTTTTTTTAAAGAAGTAACTAAAGCTTCATAAATTGAAATTATTACATACAATTAAAAATTAAATTATGAAATTTTCAGTTTTGAAAATAGTAATCAGTAAATGAACATTTACTACATCTTCATAACGCCATATTTTGTATGAAACAAACTTTTAACATTTGTTATAAATAAAAGTATCTCTCTAGATATCTGTTTAGGTTGAAGTGTAACAATAAGAAATCCAAATGTATTGTGAGAATTAAGTTATCAAATTTTAATATTATTATTAATTAAATTTAAACTTGATATTTAATAAGATAACGAGATACTTTACATGATATAGTGAAATGCTGCAATATATTAAAACTATTTGCCTTATTTCCTTTTCTAACATTTTATGAAGTTTAAATTATACTGTTTACTATTATCCTGCTTTTAATATAATAATGAAGAATAATTCTTTCTATTTAAAAGTTTTATTTTACCATTTGAAGGAAAAAAAAAAAAAAAAATATTTATTTTACTCTTTTCAAGGATGATTTGAGAAAAGACTGTCGGCTCATGGAATTCAATAACTTAGTGAACAGATATTTAAAGAGTGATCCTGAAGCTAGAAAACGTCAGCTGTATATAAGGACATATGTATGATACTATTTTATGTCTAAATTAATTTTCATAATCCCATCATTGATTTGTGTGTGCGCGCTTTAATAATAATTTTCACTTTTAATTACTTTTAATTATAAAATATTTCTGGAAACAATGATTGAATAAAACAGAAATATTTCAAGCTGTAAAATTTACAAATAATGCACAAAGTATCATCATTGCTATTATTTTATGATTAACTAGCTGCTATACAACCAGCCTTTGTGTGGCTTTTAAATGTACCGGAAAAATGCCTAAAGAGAACACCAAACATTAAATGTAAAAACTCTACGGAATTTTACTCTGCGGAACAACTTAATACATAAATAAATAAAAATTTCAGTAAAAATGTAATACAAATAAAAAAAAGTTTACAGTGAAATAAGCAATATCCCTTAAAGGTGATTAATTATCCTAATAAATAAATAATCAACTTCCTGTTGCCTTTTTTTTTTTTTTTTATAAATGTCCAGTATCCAAGAGAAACATTCAATTTAAAAACTGAACATAATTATCTCATTTTTCAGAGTGGCAAAAATGCTGATATAATGAGAGAGAATTATGGTGTGCCAGTTGTCAGACTAATTAATACAGAATCTATCATTTCAGAGACTAAGCCCTGAAACCACACACATACACACACACACACACACAAAAAAAAAAAAAAAAAAAAAAAAAAAAAAAAGAGAGAGAGAGAGAGAGGCTCAAATGGAAGGTCCTGAATTTAAAGAGTGCCAGAGAATGGTGATGATGTGCAGAGTGGTGTGGACTCCATTTAATAGCCACTTTCACTGCTACTATGTTCTTGGGTGTATATACTCTTTTTTCACTATCAACTGTCTTTACTGTCAAACCAGTGATCTCAAAGTTTTGTACCCTGTTCTTGATGGCATGGGCTGATGGAATAACATTAATATGATGAATCTTGAACTTTTCAAAATTCACACTGACTGATCACGTAACTGTTGCTGCTTTTATAAAATTCCCTTGCTGCATAAGCACATTACACTCCTGTCTACTGCTCTGTTGTTACTAAAAATGCTTTAATGTTTTTTACAAGTTGGCATTAGAATCATTCTCCCCACTCCAGCCAAATCAAAACAAGCACTGTTGCCAAATTGCCCGGTTCACTGCCGCACCCTGCATATCCTTCTTATTATGTCACTTTAGTAAATCACCCAAAGCTTGTGCCATGCCTGATTAAGAAGTTTTAATGTTGCATATCTCTCTTCTGAATCTAAAGTAGCACCTTATTTTGGCAATGGGGCCAATATTTTCCCCAACTTGGGGATTGCACTGCTTTGACATGCAATCCTTAAGGAGTGGCAATTTGTATATGTCTGTAAATATTTAAATCCTGATTGCATTGTGTTTTTTAAGTATTGTTTTATTTATTTGTTTAATTTTTTGTAGTTAGGTTAATTGTTTCAAAGTTTATTTTGAGTGTAATTAAATTTGTAGCCCCATATTTTGCATATGTTTTTACTTCTTGTATAAAATTGTACATCTTCCAATTCTCATTCACAAAACATTTAAATTGAAAAAAAAAAAAAAAAAAAAGAAAGAAAGAAAGAAAGAAAAGAAAAGAAAAGGGGGGAACTCATCTAGAATGGAAGACATGGACAAAAATGCTCCTGACAGACTTTGGCAATTGGCAACTTCCTCAAAAATTCGGGAAAATTAATTTTCAAAGCTCTCGAAGTAATTTTTACTGAAGAGTCCAGATGCACATGCAACACTATATAAATACAATTCCAAATGCCAGGAGTATTCAGTTAATTAGCTGTAAGCATCTCTGGTTCAAAGAGAATTAACTGAATGGTATTTTAGAGTTTACTCTGCTAGTGATGTAAGGAATTTACAATATTTCTCATGCACATGCTTAATATCTATATTCCCTTTGAGCTTTTTATTTTTCTCTGTGTAATTATTATTTATAATAAATTGTTTCTTCTTACCTAAATGAAATAATTATTTAAAAAAGAGAGCCATAAATCAGCTCACAGCAATAGCTTTATTGCTTGTGCTATGTAAATTCATAGTAAGAAAAATTTAATTTATAAGACAAAATTATAACTGTTTAAATCTAAAAAAAATAACATTAAGTAATAAAGTAACTGATTTATTGTACCCTAGTAGGAAAAATTAATTTATTTAATTAAGTGCTTTATATTTTATTTAATGAAATGCAATGAAAGGTGGTTGGTTAATAACTCAAGATCAGCATTATCATGTCATTCAATGGGATTCGCATTTGCTGTCCAGAAATATGTAGTTTTTGCCCTTGTGTTTTAAATATGTATGGAAAGAAGTGCAGAGGATGCTTGAAATTCTGATTTTAAGGATTACATAAATGGTTGGATAAAATTTTCATGTGTGGAAGGTGAAACATGCTGTTAAAAAAGCATTTAATGGATTATGTGAAATGCATTTGGGAGAATAGAAGTGACAAAGGCATTTGACATGAGTCTGTAGGCCTAAAAGTAGCCATAAGCATCATGTCAGAAATCAGGAAATCATTTAAATACATTTATGACGTATGCAGACAACGCACTCAAGGTAAAAAATATGCTATTATCAGGACTGTTATTTGGCAATGGCTGCTAAAAGAAATAGACGATTAATATCAGCCTAGATTGCAAGGAAGCTAGCTGGCCAAGGTAAAAAACATTCTGAAACAGACTCTCAATACTGTTATTTGGAAATTATTGCTAAAAGAAAGAGACAGTTGTTGTAAGCTCAGACTGCAAGGGAGTTAGCTGCAGGTACAGAAACTTGTATATTCAAATATAAAGTGATGCAAGTGTTTAAATAAAGTAATGAGACTGATTTTTTTATAATTTTCTTTAATTACAATCTCACACTGTCTTCAAAGTAATCATCTTGGAAAGCCACACAACAGTGGAGATGATTTTTCTACTCTGCATAGCAGTGCTGAAACTCAGATACTGGAATTGCCTTCACATGGTTAGTTAATTGGTTTAATGTTTTCTAGTGTCCCAAAATGACATCCTTTGAGGTGGGTTTGCGATCTTGGGAAAGTCACATGGACTCAAATTGGGGGAATAAGGTGCTGAGGAGCCACAGTGATATTTTTACATGCACAAACTTGTTAATTTAAAATGCAGTGTGACAACGTGCGTTGTTGTGATGCAGCAGCCAGTGTGTTTTGATTTTTAGTCTCAAACACATGATCCTTTTTTGAAGCCTTTAAAAAACTTCTTGGGAAAAGTGTTAGTTCATCATTTGGCCTGGGGGCACAAACTCTTTGTGGACAGCTCCCTGGCCATCAGAAAAGCAAATCAATATATTTTTTTTTTATCTTCAACCTTCTCTCTCTCTTTTTTTCCCCCTGTTTCCTGGCTGTGGCATTATGTTTTTTGGGTTTCACTCAAATGCCCAAGACTCATCACCATTAATATCGTATTCCAGAAAATGCTCTAAAAATCCGTTTCTCTTTTGTTCCAGCAAAAAAATTTGGGGAGGGGATTTTTGAACAGATATTACTTATGCTCTAAAAATCCGTTTCTCTTTTGTTCGAGCAAAAAAATTTGGGGAGGGGATTTTTGCACAGATATTATTTATCTCCCAATTCTTTTCTCAAAATCTAATGAATGGTAGTATGGCTGAACTTTTTTCAAATCATTTCTGACTTTCATGCGATGGAGAAAACACAAGATTCCAAATTCTGGCAGAATTTTCGTCAGTTATTATATTTGTAGAGCTTAAACCACTTGGAAACTGGACCCTTGACAAAAAATCATCTCTGTAGGTGGATTTCAGCTTTATAAATGTTTTGAAGCAAAATTTGAGAACAAAATGTTGCTCATTTTCAGAATGCACTGGGGGGGGGAGATTACAAAAAAAAAAAAAAAAAAAAAAAAAAAAAAAAAAAAAAAAGAATCTTATAGACTGTCCACAATTCAAACTCATAGTGGCTGAGTAATAAATGTTCCCGTGCCCTTACCACCAAATTGGAAGTTCGCAGAGTTGCCAGATCAAATGCTATGCTTCCTGTCTCATTACTTTGTTTATACACCTCATAATCTGCATAAAATATAGCTGTATGCAGGGAAATCCATGATTTGTATTTCACTAACTTGGGCTGCGAAATTCACCAGGTTACAGTGATCATAGCAGTTGGAGTGCATAGACTCGAACTGGGTTCTCTTTGCCGATGAATCTCATTTTTGTTTGGAGAGCGATTCCTCATGTGTTACATTCTGGAGGGAGTTAAGCTTATGCAATTAGCCTGAAAATATCTGCAAAACATGTAGATAAAAGGGTGATGGAATCATGGTATGTGTGAGCATCATTTTGAATAGCCACACTGAACTACACATTTTTAGCAATGTGGTTTTGAATGCTGATTATAGAAATAAGATTCCTGATCTGTATGTCGAGCTGTTTAAAAGTGCAGTTGGTAATTACTTTTTTCTGATGGATGATAATATTCATTCCAGTTATGGTGCACTATAGTCTGTTTCTTTAAAATATTCATATCAATACTATTGACACTGTCCTTTACTTGTGATTATAATATGGCATAATCACTGCACAGCATTTATTTTCTTCACCTCTTTGAAACTGCTCAAGTCAGCCTTTACTTGTGCACTTTTTTGTTAAGCAAAACACGGTAAACAAAAATCGTTTTGGGGGGAATATTAGGTGACTTGTGCTATCTGCTGCAGCTGTCATTCCCATGGTTATGGTGGAAATAGGGCAGGTGAAAATGACTCTGAAGTACCAATTTTAAACTAATAGACTGTCTTGACACATTATCTCTAGGCTAAGAAATCCAGTAGGAAAAAGGATTTCCTTATTCTTCATATTTAAATCCAATAGAACATGTAGGAGACACAGGATACTGATTTGCATGACTGAAGCTCTTTTTTCCCTCAGCACTCTTCAGAAGCTTCATGATTCTCTAGCTATCATGATTGCACTTTGTTACCACAGTGAGTCCTGGATAGTCTTAGACAGCATGGAAAATTTCTTTAAAGCTTGTATTTCATTCAGGGGTGACCACAAACATTATTAATTTTTTCTGTCTACCTCTAAAAACTTATAACACTAGTTTTTGCCAACCCTATTTTATATCATATTTCTTTTGTTCTTATTTAAGTTTATTTATTGCAGAAGTATGCGATTCTACAGTTTGAAAATACGTCAGGCCTGATAAAATAAAGATCTTTATAGGTTACTTATAAAATGATTTTTAAGTTTTTATGAGATTTTATAGCTATTCCTTTAATCTTTCCAGCTAGTATCCTAAAAGTTTAATAATTTAACTATTAAATATTTACAGATTTCTGTCAGAGTTCTTTCGGGAATTATATGTAAGTTTTTATCTTGTAGGCTGTAGTCCCTTTAAATGAAGAATGTGGTTTGATTGAATGGGTACCAAATTTACAAGGCTTGAGGCTTATTCTTTCAAAGTTGTATAAATTAAAAGGAAAGTTTGTTAGTGGACGAGAAATCAGAGCAATGATGCCTCCTAAAACAGCTACATTTGAGTAACTGCACTTTTTTCTTTTTAAATTTTTTTATTAAAGTTTAATTTTTAATTGAAGCTTTAGAACTTCTTTAGTTTTATTTTATATTTCCAGGCAAAAACTCAATATATTTACAACCAAGTTTCTTCCTCGTTTTCCTCCTGTTTTCCATGATTGGTTTCTTTTGACATTTCCAGATCCTACAGCTTGGTATACTTTCTATATTTATATATACATATTAGTTGTGTTTCATTGTAAATACTATTTTTATTGTATAAAAATATAATTTGCAAATGTTGCTTTTATTTAATAAATGAATGAATAAAAAAAAGCTGCTATAGTAAGAATTCACATTTTTTAAGCATGAATAATTTAGTTTTAAATATTTAGTAAAATTATCAGCACATTTTGATTTATCATTAAGCATACTGACATTTAATTTTGCAATGAATTTGATAGGTATCTAGCTCATCTGGCGTATGCACGTACTACAGCAGTCATGAGTATGATTGGTTATATTGTTGGACTTGGAGACAGACATGGAGAAAATGTTTTATTTGATGCAAGTTGTGGTGATACAGTGCATGTTGACCTTAACTGCCTATTTAATAAAGTATGTTTTCAACTTTTGAAATATTCTTGAGTTTAGCAAATATATTATTCTGTGTTATGTATCTACTATTTTAGTAAATTCAGAAAGCAGCATTTTAAACTTACTTAAAAAATAATAATAATAATAATAATAAGTATGTAAAAAAAATATAAACATGAAGCATTTTCTTCTTCTGCACATTTCCTTTTCCTTGTATACCGCAGCAAAAGGACTATTTACATTTTTTAAGTAATAACGTTGTTTAGATCTCAGAAGAAGGAAAAGTATTATTTGGTATTTTGCTTATTTTTGAGTAATTAGGTTATTTGAATTATTATGTATTTTGAGTCAGTGACGTAACCAGGATTTGAATACCAGATCTCCCAATTGCTAGCTGGATGTTCTATCCAGTTACACCAGGAAGGTACATGAAAAGGTGGGAGAAAATACCTTATATACTCCCACTTTTAAAGAGCAACTGGGGATGAGGAGACCTAATCACTAAATACTGTTCGAGATGAATTATTATCAACCACCATTTAGTTCAGATGCCACTTGTAGAGTCATTAGATTTTTTGAAGTATGTTTGAAAGGTGTGTAAAATATGCAGTGCCTTCACTGAGATTTAAAAACCGTACCTTCCAATTGCTAGCTGGATATGCTATCCAGTTACACCATGAAGGTACACTGCACAAAATAAAAATGGACAGTTCTATATCTCCCGTTCTACTGGGCCAATTGACAAAATTCAAATTGTGTTTTTCTAGTCTCAAAAGCGCGACTTGGGATATATATTAGGTTTATATATAGCATTGTTCTAACATAGGTATTTTAACACAAAATCGGGCTTTTTCTGAAATAACATACCAATTTTTCCATGTTTCGATTCTATGATTCAAATTATGCCTAAATATTAAATTCTGTAAAATTTGGTGTGAAATTCACACAGATTTTTCAGCTTGCGCCAAGAATAATTCACTTGCCGAACTTCTTAATATATGGCAACCTATTTTCCTTTCCTTTATGGGAAAAAATGGAATTATGGGAGTGGGAAAAAAGTCACATAATTCCTACTTCCAAATTTTAACAAATATTCATATTCCATAAACATAAAATATTCAGAACATATTCCATAATTTTAACAAAATGCTTAAATTACATTTGATGTTATTATCCCTTTTAACCCTTTGATGCGCACAATGTTATTTTTATATTTTTTCACTAAAATCTCTAGAAATTGAATATTATGATCCTAGAGACAAATAATATATGAATTTAAAAAAATCCACTCTTGCCCATTGATCTAGGTCGCACTCTGAAACCAGCGCGCGTCTAGGATTTCAAAACTTATTGAGGTAGAAGGGGGGGGACTTTCCTTTTCCCATGTGCATTTCCAATAAATGACGAAATTTGAAAATTTGAAAAAAAAATTATGTAAGAATTGCATTATAAGTAAATATTTTACATTATTTTACAAAGTAAATCGTCACAAAAAAATTTAAAGTTATGCAATTTTTCTATAGCAGTGAAATCATTTATATAATTTATGATACCATTCAAAGCATGTTTTGTCTTTTTGGTACATGCATAGAACCACATTGCATGTTTCACACATGTATGAGGTTTCTTCCTTGTGCTACAAAATGTATACTGCTTGGATTTGCATTTTTCTGGTATATGTCTAACGTTATTTAGTCTCTTTTTGTCTGGCACATGAAATTTGTGGTTTTTTATATCAATGGGGAGGGTGCTTGGTCTTTATGGCTTTGGTACAGATCTTTTGTTTCCCATTTGTATGTATTTTATTCATATTTCATCCCAAAAGATATATAAAATATTTTTAATTTAAATAAAGCTTTTATACAATTTCTGTTTTTAATTATAACACAGGATATTTACATTATATTTAAACCACACAATATAATTTATAAAATCGCAATAATAGCATAGGAAGCAAGCGTGTTGTGGTCAGAGAAAAATCTTTGAAAAAGAAAGACCTTTTCACTCAGGGATAAATAGAAGTCCTAATAGTAATAGTAGTCTTATAAGGTCTGTTTTCACTGGGCAGTATTGTTAAGTAATAAAATAACTCAAAGCCTCATATGTATATCTGGGTAAAAATAAGCATTCCTATTTGAAAAGCAGCAAACACCATTGTGAAGAGCAGTGGTTTCAAGGTGCGACCACTGAGCCTCTAGAGGTTTCTGAGCATTGTGACACAATGCTCCAGTGGCTCAGTGGTCACGCCGTGAAACCACAAAGCAAATGCCATAAATATGCATAGGTTTTTTATATATATGCAGTTAAATTATTACAATTTTTTATTGTTTATGATAGAAATAATGATGTGCAATGAATAACATTTGCAATTTAAAGAAGTTTATATTAATAAAAGGAAGTTATTTTATCTCACTGAAAATGAATTTTAAAGGGCATATGATTTGAAGTACTAAGATCTAAAAAAAATGTATGATTCTGCAGTCATTTTGTGTTATTTAGAGGTAAAAGATCAGTAATCAATTGGTTTTTTACTCAAAAATTTCAGAAAGAAGAGAAGAAAAAAAATTGAAACTTGGTGGTTTCACGGTGCGACCACCGTGCGTCAAAGGGTTAACAAATGTGCCAAATTTCAAAACGCGCCAATATATAAATTCACATATATCGTTATTATCGCTCAAAAAAAAAGATGCCAAATTTCAATACGCGAAAATATGTCAATTTGTGTACATCTTATAAAATTTTGAATAAAGAACTCTAATTTTTTCCAGGTATGCTTAGAACTACACCTACATTAAGATAATGGTAAAAATTTATAAATTTTTTAGAAAAATTTATCAAAATTATTTAAAAATAGAAATTTTAAAAATAAAACACAAAAAATGGCTGAATTTTATTTGCAATGAACCTAAATTTTGAAATGTGAAAGGAAGAATCAAAAAAGTTTAATTAAAAAAAGAGATATTAATAAATAAATAACAAAATCAATTAACATTGAAGACATAAAATTTTGAGACCTAATTTTTTAAAAACTATTTGTGCGATTTTTACAAAACTTGACAGTTTGGCGTAATTTGAGTTGTAGAATCGAAATATGGAAAAAATTGACTTTTTTTTTTTTCAAGAAAAAGTCCGATATAATTCTAATACATATCCTAAGTCGTGCTTTCGAGCCATGAAAAACGCAATTTGAATTTCGCCAATTAACCCAGTAGCATGGGAGATATAAAATTCCCGCCGCCCTTTTTTTTTAGCAGTGTATACGGAAAGGACGGAGAAAATACTTCTTAATTTTCTTAAAAATGAAAATCATAGTAATTTGAGTATGCCTGTAGTCAAGTAGCTAAAGCTGTAAAGCAATGGTTGTTCTTTTGATTTTTATTCCTGGCAGTCTATTTTCTTTGCATGTATGTGGAGATTGTAAACCTTTTAGATTGTCTTTGACAGAGATTTAACCATTGGAACAGTATTTTGTAATCCGGCTCCTAAGGATGAAAATAGTATTATTTTTCACTGGTAGCAAATGTGTTAAGTAATCTAGTAACTTGCAGCAAATTAAATATATAATTAGCATATGAAATGGAATTTTTAATATTTAACTATTTGTTTCCTTTATAATGCTTAATTGCTTTTGTTGAATTTGCAGTTATTTCCTCAAATTAATACCATTATCTTTGTCAATGCAGGGTGAAACTATGGAATGTCCAGAATGTGTGCCTTTTCGTCTAACTCATAATATGGTTGATGCAATGGTAAATGTATTGGTTTCATATATAAAAGAATTATTAATTCATATTTTGTATTTTTTATATATATGTTTATGTTAATAGTTTATGTCTGTTTCCTTTCCTGCCATATATATATATGTAAAAGAAAACTACTAGTTTTAATTTAGGAATAGTCTTTTTAATTCCTCATTTTTATTTGGCTGTGTCTCCTTCCTGGAATCTGAAGTCCATCATATGGAAAACTAATCTGCATTATGTTATCTTATTAATCCTACAATGCTGTGAGTTCTTGTCTAATCACAATCCAGAATTTAAACAAAGCAGCCCAACTCTGTAAATGCTGTTTGCTGAAATGCGCACTCACTTTTGCCTGCCTGCCCCTCATTGTGAAACATGGAGGTAAGAAAGGAAGGAGTGACCAAACCGGCACTAAAAGTGAAGCACTGCTTTGAAGCTTCAGTCCCCAGATGGGGTGTTTTTTGTTTACATTCAGAAGCTCCCTTGACAGCACTCTGATAGTATTTCGATACACAACAGTTCCATATAAATCGGAAAATGGAACACTTCTGCATAAAAGAAACATTCATAGTGTGATGGATAATAGCAATTTGTATAGTTTAGTGACATTTAAAAATTCCAAGCTGATGAACTACAAAAATATAGATTTTAGCAAAAATGTTATGCTTAAAGACTGGGGGGGAAAAAAAAAAAAAAACCTTACGGTAAATTTAAAATTGTATACATCTTTCGATACCCTTGATAGAGTATTCGCTACTTTTATTTTGTGTTCCAAACGCCAAAATGTTTTAAATAAAATATTTTTTTTTCACATCCACATATTATTGTAACATGTACTTTTTATAATTTTTTAGAGGAGAGGCTTTACTCTTGCTCATTTTAAACTCTCATTTTATTTTTATATATCTGAAAAATAATTACTTTGGGCTTAACATTTTACTTATTTGGGTTAATTAAAAATAAAATTACCACGATTAAAATTAAGATTTGAATTTGATGATGAATGTATCCTAAAACAGATTTTAGTCAAAAGTTTGAAACTTGATGGATAAATGTAAATATAAAATTATGCATGTTAAAATATTTGTAATTAGGCACATAGGTCAGGTTAAGTTTTTATTAAATAGAGTAAGGCATGCAAAGGCTATCTGCCTAAAGAGAAAGATGCCATTGTGGAGGAATTTCGAAAAAAAACTGACCTTTGACTGGGTATTAAAATAATGCATATAATTTTCATTCAAATTATATTTATACTTATTTCTTATGTGAAACTTTCGGGTATATGTTAAATTAGTGTAAGTTACTTTACTCGAAAAATATATTGAATGCACAGAAATTAAAGATTTGCACATGCCGGAAATGAAAAATATGAAACATGGATGTGTTTGATCTTAAGTTTTGTAATCCTTAACCGAATAAAATCAAATTACCTTAAAATTTTTTTCTAATGTAATTAACGAAAACTTGTGAAAATATTTCATTCAAATTAAACAATTCTGAGCAAACTGTTCTGTGAAAAGTATAATATTTAATTCCGTTCAGAATGAAATGTTGTTTAAAAATGTATTCTTTTCATATACTTAGGACTCTGAAGTATTGTAGAAAAAGAAAATATATACATTTATATGTATATTTACGACATAATTACAAAATATTTACATCCGATCGTTCAAAACCCATTGACCTTAATGGTAAATTACCCATTGTTTTGGTCACCAAAGAAAGGGATCGCCAGTGCTTCAAAGTAGGGTATTGGGGAAACTGGTTAGGGCCACTCCATCTTACTTACTACCTCCATGTTGTGAAAACACACGTGGCATGTTTCTCTGCTTCATCTAATGATATGACATGTTTATGCTTATCAAGAATGTCCATGAATAAATTAAGGTCTTGTTTTGGCCTCATCTGTCACCATTATGTCATCTTTTGTGTCTACACAGATCCCCAACTTTTTTTTATACCTCAGAGCACATTCTAGAATATTGGCGAGGTTGATGTGTACATTTATTCTTTCAAGATGAATTTATAGGTTGGCATAGATAATAATATACGTAATATACAAAAGAAGATATTCTAAAATTATAATTTAACTTCTAAAAATAAACTATTGTATTTTTATGAAAAAATAAATAATTACCAAATAATACAGACAGAAGTTTGTTGTATTTGGCATTGCATTTCATAGGCAATTACTTCATAATCAAGAGAAGAATATGATGATATTCCTGCTTGTAAGCAATCATCAAGATGTTCTTCAGTAAGTCAAGATCTCTACTTTGAGAGTTTGTTGTAGAAATTTTGACATTGATATTTGACTTGTTTTTAAATTTTAATAAATAAACGGGTCACAATGGCAAATTGGCCAGTACGCCAGGGCCTTACTCTCAGTCTGAGATGTCTAGTTTGCCCATTTTAAATTATAAACAAAGAATCTTTTGAGCAAATACGCTCATTAAATGCCTCTAATTAATTGTCAACTATAAAAAAGTTTTAATAAAATTTTATTGAAAAATTAGATAATTTTTTTATCATAATTACACTGCAATGGGCACACGTAAAACCATTGCCAGGTGCAAAGGTGCTCGCTGGCATAGGGTTGGGGATGTCTGATCTACACTACCTTCAAATCCTCAAGTCATCTGTCACATATGTGTGTGTGTTTAAAACTGGTAATGCTACATGATTATTATTCCACAGAGTGAAAATAAAGTTCCTGAATTCTGGGGGGGGGGAAGATAAATGCTTCTGTACGGAAACATTTTTCAAACTGATTTGAAGGATAAAGTTATCAAGGTAATGTCTTCACCAGTTTGGAAGAAAATATTTGTCTATTGACTAGCTATAATTCTCATGGTGATAATAATGCAGAGCATTGTTTCCGAAAGTTTTCTGCTGCTTACCTCTGTAAACTATTCTTTTTCATATTTTTACTCACAAAGCAAAATGTTTGCACCTTCAGGCAGCAATTAAATAGGTATTTTTTCACATTCAGGTGCTTTTAGTTCTTACACAACTTTCATTTTATATACTTGAAATAAAAATTCTCTTCATCAAAAATTGATGTTAAATTTTTCTCTGTTGTGAAAATCGTATTATTACAATTCGGTACGTATATGGAAATGGTTATTCACTTCTGATAATACTCAGAATTCTTTTTATTGTTGTGCATTCTGGTATAATATTTAATTTACACAGCCTAAACATAGCTTAAACTAGCAATGACATTTTATTCTTGAAAAGAGTAGAAATATTTAAGAGTAAAATGAAAAACGTTTTCTTTTAGAGGTTATTAATTCAGAACATGATCTAGAATTTGCAATTATTTAAACACTGCTAAAAGCAAAAGGTTTTAATCAAAAAAATAGTAATTTGTAACCACTTATAACTACTTTTAAGTTAATTATTTGACTGGGACAATATTTTAGGCCTGCTGAACAAGATGACTCATACCATGAAGCTGAAACCTGATTTTGAGGATCCCATTGCATTTAATCTCTGCTTACTAGACTTGAATCATTGGGAAAATTTCTCTACAATAACCTAAGCCTCCGATTTGTTTTTATGCAGTCGGATGTAAAAATTGGCTGAGGCTGACCTTTAACAATAAGCTGGCACAATGATTCACCAACAGTTGGTTCTAGCCAGGGCTGTGGGGTCGGAATCAGAGTCAGGCAGATTTTGGGGTAAAAGGAGTCGCTAAAAAACAGGTCGACTCCGACTCCCTTTTTTTATTGGGAAGTTTGAATTTGAAATGAAATTTAAATGAATTGAAAAAAATTAATGACAAGCTGAGTTATTATTTTTATTTATGAACTATATACATTAATAAATAGTTATTTTCTATTTTATTGGTATATTGATAAATAAATATAAGGGTCAGGATGGATGTGATATTTGCCATTAGTGATTAAACTGATTCGTTTAGTTACTTCATTTAGTTACAAATCTCACTGGTAAATTTAGGTAAGCAGCAATAGCAGCAAGAACTCCCGAAATTTATGCTATTCTTAGGAAGCAAGCAGGAAAAGGAGCAATTATTGATCAAGCAATGCAATAAGGAAGTACATATTTGATGATAAAGAGGTTGTTAGAATTAAGAACTTTTTTAGAAGATGAAGATAACCCTAATGTTTCACTAACAGAAAGACTGTGGAATGAACTTGCAGAATTGGAAACTCTTCTTTCTACACCGTATGTAGCCACAAAAAAGCTGCAGTCTGAAGAATTGACAGTAGGTGAGAATGGAAGAATGTGATGTTTGTTCTTTCTGAAATGGAGGGCTTATTGCAGAAGGAATCATTTCTTCAATGAAGGAAAGAGAAACTAGTTTGCTAGACAATGAGATCTTGCTGGGTTCAATATATGTAGATCCGAAACACTGAATTTTCTTAGATGACAAACAAATTAAAACCGCAAAGAAAACCATCTATGAACTTTCATTAAAAATGAAATTATTCTCAGAACAATTGGAGAATTCGAATCAGGACAATCAAACTGCAGTCATTGCAATTGAGTCTCTATCATCCTTTTCCAGTGATGAATTAGATTTTAAGAAATATTTTTTGGATAACATTGAAAAGGCTAAGGCAAAGCAAATGAAAATAAAGGACCAAGAGCCTTTAGATATAAAAATGAAAAAATACAAACAAGATTTTTACATGGCCTATGAAGAAATAGAGAAATATGATTGCACTTGCAAGACACCTCTTTTAGAACTTATAAAAATCTATCCTGAAAAGTTAAAAGAAGTAGCCCTAACAGTAACAGCTCTTCCTCCTACTTAAGTTAGTGTGGAAAGACTTCTCAGCTCTGAAGTTTATCAAATCGGATCTATGGCTCTCCAACAAAGATCTTGCCGAAGAGCTATATTGTTTCTTAGAAATAACTAATGCCAGTTTTTCCATTTCATAATAAATGTTAATTAATATAAATAATTTGCTATGCCATCAATTTTCTTCTATAGCATATATTACTTCTTTTATATTAAAAAACGTAAGCTGTAACTC